CCTGACAACAAACAGAGAGACCTTCTTGTAAAGTGTAAAAGGCATTAACCAAATCCTAAATTAGTACACAATAATCAGTGCTTCTTAGACAAACATACACAAATTTTGCCAACAGATTATTATTATTATTTTAGCTTTGTCATTAAGCTTCGAGGCCTCTTTAGTTACTACATTCATCTCTCTTGTCAATGCTCATCTCAGCTGAGACCAATAATGCAATTCTCTATTGTGTGCTGATGCCCATTAATCAACTAATTTGCAGTTTTCCCCTCAGGAACTTTCCCCATCTATCATTTCATTTATAAATACAGGACAGCCGGCATTCACGCGAAGCAGCAAACTATCTCAGAGCTCTTAAAGTTTGACATGATTTCAGCACTCAATCACAGCTCGTCCAGATTTATCAGCTACGCATCATATCTGCTTGGTGAGATTTGTGCGTTCGGAGCTTTGGGGTGACTTCGCAGACAATCTTGTTAGCGCGTTTAGCCCTGCTTACCTCTGAGCCTCACCCATCTGTAGCCCGTCTTCGAGCCTCATTGTGCCGCGCGACTGTAAAACCCGTAAAAGCTCTTCTCTCCTCTCTCCTTCAAACCCATTCAGGTTTCTGGACTTCTTTTATTAATTCTTCTATTTGTTATTTCTGAGGTGGAAGTAACAGGGTGGTAAATTAAATTAAATTAAAATTGAGTTAAATACTCTATTAATTTTTCACAAGCTTTCGATTTCTCAACCTTAGTTTAATGGTTTAATCGAAAATCTTTACAGCACAGTAGAGCTGTTGTTATCTACATGCATTATTCTGGATTTCTTCATTCACGTGTCAAAGATAAAAGAGAAATTGAAAAAAAGGGGATAAAAACAATAACAACAACAACAGAAAGCTAAAGCGAAAGACTGTAGCGCATTAAACTTTAAACGCCTGTCTGAACAGGTGGGTATTCTGGCAGCGAAACACACACTCCAGGCTCTTACACCATCCTTTTCTTCCTCTCATTCTAGTTTTTCCCATATCAGCACCAGAAACAGAGATTTTAGAGCAATTGGTGCTCCCTTCTGCCTCCTCTGTGTTCAGCTGCTCTGTGCTGCCAGAGGACTTTAATATTTACTTTGTCCAGTAGAGTAAAAGCTTCTGGTGCTAACATACAGTATTTAAGCAGCTGCATTTATACCGCAGAGACAATATTTATTGTTTGTGCTTTTTGGATTTAAACCTTTCTCTTAAAATGTATTTAATCATTCATTAAATTTCCACATTAAAAGATAATACGGCTGTTAAATAAATACTTTGTGCTCTTGCTAAATAGTCAGTTTGTGATTGTGTTAAAGTGTCTCTTAACAGATGGGGCTGAGCTGACCCAATCTAGCGCACCCGAAATAGAAGGACAAATGTGGTATAACATGATATACAGTACACTGTACGTCTCTGTGCTCATCTGTGGCATTCCCTTCTAAGTTGGATCTGTGGAACTAATTCCCTGAAACTTACACTTGATACGTCTTGTCCGAGCAGGCAGCTCTCCCACATGTAAGGGAAACTGGTAAGCTGGAGTCCACAGTCAGCACATAACTCTTTGGAATAAAAGGACAGATGTAATGTAGGCTGAGAGACACAGCCATAATAATCAGCTAAAGTAAAGAAATGATCCACGGGCTTGGTAACAGAGGCTTTATCAAACGTCGTATCTAATTCGGGGTCAGTTAGGTTTAAGTACACGAGTCCAAAAATGGAGCGCATGTCAGAGGCGTGAAACCTAACTTCTGGCTGCGTGTTTCTTTTGGGGCAATGTTTGTAGCTCAGTCAACTATTAATCCACTTGCGAGAGGCTCGCTGTTACCTAACTCGCAGGGGCTGATGTGTCTGAATGACTCACCACAAGCACCTGATCCTCGCCCTGCTGTATGCTATCTGTCGGCCTTTGTCACTAATCCCATCACTTGATCACACAGCTTTTTGATTAAATGCTTTTTACACACGCACGACTACTAGATGGATTTGAGGCTGACCTTAAATTCATTTAGTGGCTCCTGTTTTTACTTGTCAAAAGGCAGCGTACAGAAATAATCCTTTTACATTTAGGTTTCTACTCGACTGGGTGCCTTCTGTTCCTGCTTTAACTTTGCTGTTTGCCTTTATTCTAGTGCAACAGTTTGTACAATACTTAACCTTTTAATTTTTTTTAAATAACTGTCCTGTGAAGTTTTGTAATACTGCCCTGTTATGACAAGCAGAATGCTATGAGAGGCAGGGAGGGACGTGAAGTAAAGGTCAAATAACAACACAAAAACCTGTTTCATTACAAATCGTTAAATAACTCTTAAGTTTTTTTCCTTTTCCAATTTGCTTTATGTCCATCAGCTTAACCCCAACTAGTTAAAAATATCAAGTTACGGTGCTGTACAAAGCATGTACATTTATACATATACATACTTATATAATTATAAAAATTAGAAGCAGCAAGCAGAGACATGCTGACGACAACAACAAACAGAGAAAAGCAGGAGACAAACAGAGTTACAGGCCACAGACTGAGGGTGGATTTAGAGTCTAGACCTAAAAATCAGAGTTGGGGTATGTGTAATAAAATATGGGAAGCTTAATTAGAAACAAATATGTCAAAGTGGGCGACTAATCTGCTTTTATGGGTTTATTTGGCTCGTCCTAGGATTCTGTTTGGGTTTGATGCTATGCTGCCACCCAGTGGTCATACATATTGAGCACAACCACAAATGAAGACTTTATTTTGACAGGTCAGTTTAGAATTCAATTAGCCATCTGTGATTCTCCTACAGCTTCTTATTAAAAGCATAACACCAACAGCTAATTACTGATGACCAGGATCTTTTTGTTTAAAGGGTGGAAAACATTTGATCATCAGTATTTCACAAAACTTAGTTTTTCAGACAGGAAGCTAGGTCAATAATTACATTTAAAAAATAAAAGGAATGAAAGGAGGCGGGCCTTACAGCACTTTGTTTTATTGATCAGTTTCCATGACCACAGATGAACAATACAGTGAACTTGTAGGCAATGACAAAGCAGATTAAAAGTTTGTCTGTGGTGTCTGCTCTCTCAGTCATAATAATATAGTTACAAGCGACTGAGCGTGAAGAAACAATAAGGTACACAGGCATATTTACAAGCTGTCCTTCGGTGACACGGCCCTGATGCTCGCACATACGTGCTCTGCTACAACAACTTAGGACAATAGATCTTTATTTCTACACCGCTTTACACCGTTTTTCTTTTCATCCATTTCATTTTTCCAAAAATTTACAGTACAAATCCAGTAATCGCATGAAGGTCCAAAAGGAATGGTAGAATTTTCTAGTCTAATAATTATAAAAACAACCCGGTCTCTAAAACTCATAAGCTTAAGGGGGGGGGACTGCAATCAGCTGCATGAATAGTGTGGACAAATGTGGTTTCAGATGACAACAGTTTGATGCAAGAGAAAGGAAAAGAGGGTGGACGAGAACATCCGTCTCCTTTCGTTTTTCCATCATTTCCAACTTTCTAGCATTTCACTTAATGAAAAAAGGCAGAGGCGGAAGTAGAGCGCAAGAGAAAAGTGGCCGGAAAGGACAGCGTTAAACCAGGACACCCCCCCCTTTACTGTGCTCTCTAGTCAACTCCAAATTGTCCATGTCCTACACTCTTCAGGACCAATCCAAACTCTGCCACCATTTATTTTGAAAGCTTCTTCATCCTCTGGTCTAGTGCAGCAAAGTTCTCCTCTATAGCCACAAGATTTTCCTTCATCGTTTGCTGAACCTGGTAAAAAAGAAGAAGAATTAGAGAGAATGCTAACTCCAGAAGTGCGTGAGAGAGACTGATGGGACGGAGAGAGGATTTAAGGAAAAAGAGAAATAAGCGGTAAGAGAAAAGAAATGAAGGTGCTTAAATATGGAAACCAAACAAAATACCAATCAGGTGCAGCCCTGTTAAACATCCATATACCTGAGTCATGTAGGAAAAGTGCTACTGATCATAAGGTTGGGCGATATGTAAAAATTTTCCAATAGACGATACATGATATATTCGCGCAGGTGATTTTTTGATGGGCGGAGCAATGTAATATTTTACTATATTTTCTTGTTTGTTTCAGAATTTATACCACTAATGCTACTTTTTGGATTACTCATTTATTTATATATTTATATGTGTTCGCTGGAAGAGACATTTTGATTTTTAACTTACTTTTTGTTTAATTTTGGATTTGTTGCTTGGTTTAGTGTGTAAGACAAACACTGGAACGGCCTGTAAACACGGTTAGAGTGGAAAAAAAAGAAAAGAATACAGTTTCTCTTTGTTTCCCTCCCCACCGTTTTGTTTTTTTTTTTAAAAAATCTAAATAAAATGTTTTTGTTTTTTCTGAACATAGGCCACCATCTTTCTTTCTTTCTGTTAGGAGTTTGAGTAAATGAATCGTTGCGTTTGTTTGCAGCTGGAAGAGGAAGCTGTTAAAACACTGCTATTATTTCTTCCATTGACTGCTTCTCTTAACTTCAACCAACATTATTAGCAAACTTACTCATGGGCAAATAAATACATAACATTGCTCTTGTAAAAATGATCGGTGAAAGACTCAGCCTATCGTCGATTGGTCGATATATTCGTCCGATCGCCCGACCTTCACTGATGACAATTATTATTAGACAATATTGTTTCAGAAGGCTACACAAAAACCAAAAACAGAAACATTTCAGTGTTGATAAGAAACTGAAATGTCAGATTTAACAAGCCTCTGCGACACCAAAACATTGTAAAGAAAAACAAAAAACATTTGACTGGATCGAGGCTTCTGGTTCCTGCCAGAAGCCTTGAACTGTGAAAGCACAGACTGATTATTGCCTGAGAGGCTCTACAGAGCTTCTGTCCTCGTAATGGGAAGCTGTAGTTTGTTAGATTGTTACTTCTAGCTGTGAAAAGCTGCCTCGGCTGTGCACTCTGAAGGGTATTAGAGGACACTTTTCCCACTCATTCACTACACATACAAAGAGGTTACGGCCAAGTGTTTGAACATGTCAAGTTTTCTTTCACACCAAATTTAACATTTTCATCTGCTATTGTGAAGAAGTGGTTCACAAAGTTTCTACCAATTACTGCAGAAACGTTCGTTTCTGTATAACTGCTGGCATCTTTTTACATCGACCTGTGACACATTTCTGCTGGCCAGTGCCAAGTTTACCGTGGCTGTAGTGGCTCACTCAAGCTGACCATTTAAGTGGATAAAACTGCTGAGTTCTACTCTCCCTGCAGCGCTGAGAAATTATTTATGTTGCTACAATTGTTCAACAGGTCTATGAACTTCTCACCTGTGTTAGCAGGGTATTATTGTCCTTCAGGGAGTTGTTGATCATCTGCTGAGTGGTATCCAGGTGTGTCAGCAGCTGGCCAAACTGCATGGCTGTGAGACAGAGGGTTGAAGTGAAAAGGGAGAATTAGATAAAGGACAGGAAGTAAGTAATCCTTAAATTCAAAACATCTGCTAAAAAAATGAAATGTCTTTGTTGTCAGCTGAAGGAGAAGGGCAAAAGAAGGGCAAACCTAATCCAACAGTGATGAACGGCAGCTTGAAAGATTAAACTAAGTGTTTTCTTTTTCAAGTTTTCCTTTATTGGTAAAGAAAGATCAGAAGAAAAAAGGTGCAGCTAAGCTCTGTCGAGCAAAGCTGCAATGTGTGACAGATCGGTGCAGAGACAGGCGGGATGATAAATGACCTCCTTCAGCTCTCAGA